AATAAAAGAGTTCAGGTTTTAACCCACGCAGCAGTACTGCAGAGAAAAGACCTGGCAATCTATCTCTGGAAAGGTGATGACCAAGGAAACCCTATGGGATATTTCTGGAACACACACAGGGGGAGTCGTAATTGCCTCAACATCAACAGGCTTGGTTTGGGGGAACAGGTTTGGTGGAGGGGGGAACGAGGGAGGCTCAAACCCTCTCCCTATTCCTGTTTAGTTCCTTTCACGCCCCTTGGTTGCAAGGCTCGACAGAACCCGTTGATCTGACCCGGTGGGTCTGTAGACTGTCCCCCTCGGCCAGAGACCTCAGTCTGGACGCCCTGTGTGTCGTGGGACTCACCCAGAACTTGACGAGGAAGAAGGCGTGGGGGGGCCCACGGTCATACAGCTCGCGCAGACCTCCCTTCTTCTCGGGAAACTTGTCGTAGATCTGCCGGACATCCACGCTCTCGAGTGGGGGAGCTCCGGGGCTGGGGCAGTGCTGGCTGATGTGAACGAACAGGTGCCTCTGGTACTGAAGAGAGGTAGCCATGAGCAAGGAGGGGAAGGTGGGCTGGGCCCGTCCAAAGCCCCACGGCCCTCCCCACCACTCTCACATAGCTATGCCACGTTGGCCACCCAGACACTGACCACATCATGCATGGCACTGTCCTCGCTCCCTTCCAAACGTTCATTCTCACAGTGTGTGCCCAACTCTCGTGCCAGTCTCCTCCTCTCTGTCCTACACCAGCTCAGGCGCAGCCCCGGCTCAGGCCTCCTCCTATCACGTCTAATCCCACCCTTGTCCCAGCCTCTCCTTTGATCTCTTACTCCCCAATCTCTCCAATTCATTTCTCCCACACACAGCTCCAACCCTGACCCCGATTCTGCCCTGCTCACAGCTCCTGAGCTTCTCCAGAACTCGGTTCACACCTCTCCAACTGAGACCGGTCCCAAATAGAACAGGTACTCAGGAATGTTTGTAGCATGAATGGTGAGTGGCTCGATAGGTGGGTACGTGCAGCTGAATGGTTGGACAATGAGAAATGGATAGATGATAGGTGAGAGGACAGATAAATGAACAGACGCATGATAGATAAGCAAGGGATGAATGAATGACAGATGGCTGGATAATGAATGGAGAAACAGAAGGACAAACAGAAATCCACACACACCCTATCTGAGATTGCTCCTGTCCCCGTTCTCCTCACTTCGCCTGGGTATCATTTCTGCTGTCCCCACCTTCTGGAATATAAATCCTTCCTCTATCTTTCTATGCATAAATACATCCAATTCTGCCTCTTTCTATAACCCGATCTTCATCACAATCAGATACAACCTCTATACCACACCCATGTTGTTGTTGTTGTTGATTGTCTTCAAGTAGAGCAAAACTCATAGTGACCCTCTGAACAAAAGGTCTGAAGCCTCTCTACAACTATCGACATTTATCAAAGTTCATAGAGTTTCCAGAGGCAAAGCAAAGTCTCGATCACTCAGCTGGGCACGTCAGCTCCTCCGCAATCCACTACCCACCCTCCCTCCGGCCTCACCAGCTCCTACAATCTGCCATTCTTTATTTCTCCGGAAACTCCACACCATTTCCATCTCTATATGTAGACCATCCAGATCTACAAACAGCAAACTCCTATGTCAACCTCAAAGCCCACCTCCAATGTTCTCGCCTCGGGGAAGCCCTCAGTGACTCCTCCTGCAGAACTACTGGCCTGCACGATCACAAGAAAGCTCACTCCTATCTCAGCACATAAGAATTCCCCCAAAAAAAAAATTAAAAAAAAAAAAAAAAGAATTCCTCAACAGGCGAGCTCTGGTGGCCTAGTGGCAAGAAGCTGCAACTGCAACCTCAGAGATGCAAGGTTCGAATCCACCAGATGCTCTGCTGGAGAAGGAGGAACAATCTCCTCCTGTACCAGTCAGATCTGATTTGACAGTACACACAAAAAATAATGAAATAAAAAAATTTAAAAAAAAATAATTCCTCAACAGATATCTACTGAGACACCTGCAAGGTGCAGGGTTCCAGGGCTTTAAGGAAAAGTTCCTGACCTCACGGAGTTCATGGTCTACCAGCAAAGACAGAAAACCAGCAATGCAAGCTATGGCTAAGGTCAATGTCAGGGGTGGTATGTGTTAGTTAAAGGATAAAGCACAGCGAAGCAGCCAGTAATGATGAGGGCTGGTATTACCCGCGAGGTGGCCTGGCACAGCACATCGGAGAGGATAACACTGGAGCAAAGGTCTGAAGGAACAGAGGAAGTGAGTCAGGAGGAAGGTCTGGGAAAGTCAATTCCTGGCTGTGAGCTCCACACACGTAAAGGCCCTCAGGCAGGAGTGGCCTTTGGTGTGTGAGGAATGGAGGGAGTCATCGTGTAAGCCGTGAGAAGAGTTAGCATCAGGACAGAGGTAGGCGGCTGGCATCAGCTTGAGGTCAGAAGGGGCCAGAATAGTCAAGACTTGGTGTGTGGGCCACTGAAAGGACTTTTTTTTACTTTTTGCCCTGAACGAGAAAGGAGAGTTTGGACCTGACTTAAGTGCTACCAGGACCACTATATCCAGCAACTGATGTTTATACGGATGTGGAAAGGCCAGCTCAGTTTCCTTCTCACAATGCCAAGTGACATTTCCCAGATGCCTTTGCAGTCAAGCGAGACCATGCGACCAGATTCTTCCTGATGGGGTGTGAGTGAGAGATCTGTGCACTGACACTTGCAAATCAGATTCTTAAAACCTCGAGCTTGATTTGGTTTATTCTTTCCCTTCCATGCATTGGCCGAGGGTAGAGAATTCAACGGCAGATTCTGGAGGCTTCCAATCCAAAGACATGAGGTTCAAACCCACCAGCCAAACCCAGGGAGAAAGACGGGCAATCTCCTCCATGTGATCTACCGCCTCTGAAAACCCACTGGAGGGTCAGGTATGAGTCAGTTCTGAAAAGACATAGTCCATAGCATGTTCTGCTAATAACGCCAAGGCCCTCATGCCTCCCTGGGGTTCAAGTCCACCAGCAGTTCCACGAGAGAGAAAGATGTACAATCTCCTCTCTTGGGAATTATAGTCTCGGGAATCTGATGGAGATTTCCAACTCTGCAGCAGTGAGTTATAGAGCAAGGAGTTAGAAAAATTGTTAAGCTCTTAGCTGCTAAGCAAAAGGCTGCCAGTTCGAACCCACTCAGCAACAAATGAGAGAAGATGATCTGGAGATCTGTTTCAAAAATGACTGCAGCCTAGAAAACCCGGCAAGTCCATTCCACTTTGTCACACAAAATCACATAGGAGTGGAAGATTGATTGACCTGAACCGACTCATTGACTCAACAGCATCTAAAACTAATAATAGCAACAGACAGCTCAGTTAAGCAAAAGGTTGACAGTTTAAACCCACTCAGAGGCACCTCAGAAGAGAGGCCCGTCGATCTGCTTCCAGAAGGAAGAGCCTATGGGGCAAAATTCAACTCTACACACGCCGGGCGACCACGAGACGGAACTGGCATCAGGGAAACTGGTTTGAGAATGGCAGAGCCACAAAGCGGAGGAGGCTGGGTCCCTAAGTTACTATGTGGAACTCCGTGAGTGAGAAACAACCTCTGTTTGTCGTCAGCCCCTGAGAATCAGAGACTGTGTTCACTAATAATCAACGCAACACAACTAACATAACATCTGTTTCTACTCTACCCCACGAGCAGTTCAAGCTCAGAAACAAGACTTGCTTGTCCAGATTCCCAGGACCCACCACTGACAGACACAGAGCAAATAGCTGCCCTGCCATTAACTCTGAACCATAGCAGTCCTGCAGGACAGAGAACTGCCCCAGAGGGTTTGACAGGCTATAAGCTCTACTGAAACAGGCTGCCTCACGAATCAATGTCCTTCCAGCCAGCCACCAGACACTTAACCAGCGTGCCACCAGGATTCCTTGGCACACAAGAGGCACTCAGACATAGCTGATAGATAAACAAACCTGTAGAGAGTTCCAATGACCTTCCATGCTTGTGACCAGTCCTGGAATCTTCCAGTTCATTTATGCCCATAGTCCTCAAAGCATGGTCCCCAAATCAGCAGCATCAATATCCTCTCAGAACTTGACAGATGTGCAAATTGTCAGCCCTACCCCAGACCCGCTGAATCAGAAACCCTTGAGATATACAGCTCAGACACCCATTCTAACAACCTCTCCAGATTATTATTCTTCCATCCAAGTACCAACCCTGCTTTAGCTTCCAAAATCAGATGCGACTGGGCACCCTCTGAATGGTACGGATGGAGATTCCCCACGTTTGCCTGATACCCACTAAAATTTGTTTTATATACTTCTCTTCCCTGTTATCCACTTATGTTCTCCTCCCGTGAGACCATCCCAAGGTTTGACTCACAGAATCTACAGCATCCGGTGGTTCTACGAAGGCCGAGAATTCTACCAGCTGCAACCGGGCAGTGCCCAAGGCCCGAGTCTGCCAGGCTGGGGGTGATGGGGCAGGTGGGGGCAAGGCTGGGGGGGAGAGGGCTTGTGGGGGCTCGTACCCTAGAGAGAAAGAGAGAAGAAAGAATAAAAATTGGCAGTTATTTATGGAATGTATCAGGCACTGCTCTCTCTCGCCTACCTTCACTTAGAAGCTGAAAAAGCTAAATACTCACTTTCCCAGCCTCCCCTGCAGCTAGAGGTGGCCATGTGACACAGTTCTGGCAAATGAGATGTTAAGAGAAATCTGCTGGGGGGGGTTTCTGAGAAGGAGTTTCTTCCTGAATAAAAAAGACAGAACTTTGGGAGGAGGACGCTTTGGGTCCTGGTCAAGCCCTGCTGCTGCTGGGGAGTGTGTGTGATGGCTGGAGTCACAGCAACCATCCTGTGACAATGAGACAGAGTTTGAAAGCATGACAAGAGATGCCAGACCTGACACTGCTGAGCTGGCACAGAAGGAGCCCACCTCAAGTTTTGTTATGTGCAATAGTTAAACTCTTTACTAATTAAAGCACTCTTAATTTGGGAGTTGTGTTACTTACAACCAGAGCATTCTTAACGGATGAATCTGTGGATCTTGGAAGGTGTGTTTATAAGTTCTCAGGGTCACAGGTTGTTGTCGTCACGTGCCACTGAGTCAGAAACGACCCATAGCTCATCCCCTCTAGCGGGTTTACAGAGGGAGTAAATTGCACAGGAGGAGAATGGCTATCTTTCTCCTGCAGACCATTTGATGGATTCAAACCACATGCCTTTGGGATTCCAGGGCAGCTTCTTACTACTAGGCCACCACAGTTCTCTGAATCAGAGTTCAGGCCCCACAAAGGCATCGGTTACTGGGAGACATAGAAGAAAGGGGAGCCATGCAAGTCCTGAAGCTCTGATTTGAGCACCTAGATCTAGCCATACCTGAAGCTTTCATAACTGGAATGGCCATTAGCTAATCCAATAAATTCCTTCCCCATCCCACCTGCCCCCCCCCAGCTTAAGATAACTTGATTTGCATTTCTGTCATTTGCAACTCAACAAATACGGATTCGTAAGCTTGTTGCAGGTTCCACAAGCTAGCAAAGAAGGCAGAACATAAAATAAAATAGAAAGCCACCATGTCTAGCTATGTTATTTGCCATCAAAAATTCTGCCCTTCAGGGAGCTCTGGTGGCCTGGTGGCAAGAAGCTGACTGCAATCCCAGAGGTACACAGCTCGAATTCACCAGATGCTCTGCTGGAGAAGGAGGGGCCCTCCTCTCCTGTACCAGTCAGATCCAGTTTGACGGTTGTTGTTGTTAAGTGCCATCAAGTTGCAGGCGACTCATAGTGACCCTATGAAGGAGAGTCCTCAACACTTGGGTGTCTCTCTCATCCTCTCTCCAGGTTCATAGGGTTTCCGGAGGCCAGCTATTACGGAAGTGGATGCCACTCCTCTTTCCAAGCTTGTTTTAATCGGGGAGCTCCACCCCACTCTCAGTCCATATTGGGTAGCCAACCATTAACGCATTTGACACATCAGTGTCACAGTGTTCAGCCTCACAGCAACCACAAGTGACCGCAGTACGGCAACTTGTACACCAGGGCTATACGACCTAGAGGAATGTCTGAACAAACACAATGAAAGACAGGTGCACACACACACACAAAATAATAAAATTTAAAAAAACAACAATATTCTGCCCTTCATCTTTCTGCCTTCCTTCCCAGAGTTGTCCCCTGACTAAGGGGGAAAGTTGAAAACAAAGTGGTGGGATTGAGGAGAGAGGAGCAAAGAGTGAGGGAAAAGAAACAGGTCTTACCTGGGAGGTCAGTGGATGGGGGCGTCAGAGACAAGGAGAATGGCGTCTGTGAGAACGGCTTCACGCTGAGGGAAGAAGGGAGCAGAAAGATCAGAATGATAGGAAGGGACTCACTAGACCAGCTAATGTTTCCTCAACGAAGCCCTGGTGATGTAATGGTCATGCACTCTGCTGTTAACTGAAAGGTTGGCAGTTCAAACCCACCCACTGGCTCCATGGGAGAAAGACCTGGTGATCTGATCCCATAAAGACTACAGCCTGAGGGAGCCCTGGTGGCTTAGTGGCAAGAAGCTGCATTGCAATCCCTAGAGGCAGGTGGTTCGAATCCATAAGATGCCCTGCAAGAAAAGGAGGTACAATCTCCTCCTGTCCAATCAGATCCAATTTAACAGTACAAACACAAAAAATAATAAAATAAAAATTAAATTAAAAAAAGACTACAACCTTGGGGGAGGGGAGCCAGGGAGGAAAATGTACAATGAATAAATGGAAATCCAAGTTCTCCGAAAACTTTCATAAAAATCTCAATTAAGAAAAAAAAAGACTCAGTGGTAAATGTTATAAAAAAATGTGCTTGATCAGATGGAACTGTAATTACAGGATTAGAAAACAAAATGTTTATTGGGGGAAAAGTAAAGAAATAAACATAATCTTGGAGGAGAGGAAACCACCAAGATTGCAGCTTAGAAAACCCTACAAAGACAGTTCTACTTTTTAAAAAGATTTTTACTTTATTATTTTTTTGTGTGTGTACTGTCAATTCAGATCTGACTGGTCCAGGAGGAGATGTCCCTCCTTTTCCAGCGGAGCATCTGGTGGATTCAAACTGCACACTTCTGGGATTGCAGTGCAAGCTTCTTGCCACTAGGCCACCAGAGCTCGCCTTGGTCTGTATGCTTGACCATGACATTTTGGTAGCTCTCAAAAAAAAAGAAAAGGCCAAATGAGACAACAGTTGGTCTCTATTTGCCAAGAGCAACAAAGAGTGGATAAGACAAAGGAGAAGGATATGAAATGTGTAGCTAGCTAACTGCCTCCCTGAAAACAGAAGAACTGGATGGGGTGTCCAGCTACAACTAATCAACATTTTGATCAAGGATGTTACAGAAGATTTCTGATCAAAAGGGGGGAAATGCAGAACAGAAGAAATTTAAGTTGTGGTGGACTCTAGACTTTCTAGATTCATGGATACTGGAAACCCTTCAAAACTATTGCCCTAAGGTATTTTTTGAACTTTGTTGTTGTTGTTGTTATGTGCCTTCGAGTCATTTGCGACTCATAGCGACCCTATGAGTTTTGAACTTTAGACCAAAAATATCATCTGAAGTCCTCTAAACTAAACAACTACTTAGTTCAACTAGTAAAAAAAGAGGTAGGTTGACACAGAGACTGTAACACTGAGCTTGAGTATGACAAGAGCTAGAGAATGGGTCAAGACAGGGCAAGATTCCTGTCTCCTGTTTATAGGGTCATTGTAGGTAGTTTTTGGCTCCACAGCGCCTAACGATAGTAAAAAAGATCTGCTTTGACCACTATATATATTCTTTTCAGAACTATCTATATTTGGATCAAAGTGAAAACAACCACTTGCTCCATTAGACAGTGAGTTACATTAGATTACATTAGAGAGGAATCTTACGGAGTCTGGGTTACCAGCGGTAGAGGAGGAACAACTTAGAAACTATGAGATATGAGCTATCATCTTACCCCAGTCTATGAGATATCATCTGATATCTCAGCTATGAGATATCATCTTACCCCAGTCAGAATAACAAAATTTAACAGAAGAGCAAACAACAAATGCTGGCGAGGTTGTGGAGAAACTGGAACCCTTATTCACTTATTCCACTTTGGAAGGCTGTATACCGCTTTCTCAAAAGGTTGCAAATAGAAATACCATTTGACCCAGCAATTCCACCTCTGAGAATTTACCCTAAAGAAGATATAACCACCACCCAAGCAGATATATGCACACCCATGTTTATCGCGGCTTTGTTCGCAACAGCAAAGAGCTGGGAACAACCCAAGTACCTATCGACAAACGAATGGATAGAGAAGCTCTGGTATATTCACACAATGGAATATTATGCAGCATTGAAAAACAAGGAACTCATGAAACACTATGCAAAGTGGATGACCCGAGAGGACATTATGCTGAGTGAAATATCTCAGTCACAAAAGGACAAATATTGCGTAGGGCCACTGTTGTAAAACAGGACTGACATTGGGGTTGAGGGAAGACAGAGAAGGAAGGGAGGAATGATGTATACTGCATTGAAACAGATGAGGGAGAGAACTGTTTAAAAGGGATATATGAATGGGTATTGTTATGACAGGAGTCCGGAATGAAGGCTGCACAGTGGAGTGGACTTGGGGGGAGGGATTGCATAAACAATGAAAGTGTTTTTCTTTTACTTTCCAAGGAGAAGGGGGGGACGCGTGCGGTGGTGGACAGGGAGTAAAATACAACAATGGAAAACCCTAAGTCTCTGTAAACTTTCATTAATTAAAAAAAAAAAACACCCAGAAATACAGGGTGAGAATGTTTGCAGAGCTCGTACAGAATGTCATCAATATCTGCAAAGTGCCCAAGTAGAAACTTCTGAACTAGTGTATGTTTTGCTGTGTACCTTCTCAACAACAAAATCAAGAAAAATTGAAAACCAAGAAAGGACTCACTCTGGAACATTCCAGGGGGTCCCGGAGCCCCCTGACCAAAACTGGAAAATCTCAGAGGTCTGGAGAAGAAACAGAAAGGAGGCAATGTCAGTTCTGTTGGCAACTGCATCTTACCCTTCACACGCTAAGCCCACCACCCACCCCCGAAAGCCTGAGCCCAGGGCCACCTGTGGGCTGGCGGGGCCCAGTTTGGCCTGCAGGGAAGGTGCCGAGATGAGCTGGGCCGAGGACATGGTGGCCATTGTCTGGAAGGCCTTCTCCTTGGAAACCTGGTCCTGGAAGAAAAGTTAGAGAGGTACATGTGTGGACACAGCAAGGCGGACAAGGGAGGGTCAGGTCAAGCACAAGGAGACACAGTGTCAAAGAGTTAAGGCAAAGAGTAGGGGGTGAATCTAAATCCCTCACAACAGCGCCCTGCCCCACCCTGCGACCTCCTGAGGAAGGGTGGTGGTCTAAGGTTAGAGAGGGCACTTATCACATTGAGCGCCTGCCCCAGGGGGTGGGGGAAGGAGCCAAAGGAGGAAAGCAGACATGATATAAGAAGTGACCCCTGGACTCCCTACCTCCCCACCCTGCCTCACCCGCTCTGCAGTCCCACCACCCCAACCAATCCTGACGAGAGGAGGGAAAGATAATTTAAGAAGAACAGGAAATAGAGGGATGGTGCCTAGAGGAAAAAGAGTGGTTTCCAGCCCAGAAAAAAAGGGAAAAAAAAAACAAACCAGGAAGTTGGTTTTCCTAGGTCATGAAAGGGCAGGAAGTGAAGGTTTCTGAATGCTCAAGTGACAGGAGATGAGAATTTCAGAGCCAGAGGAAACAGGCACATAATGGGACAGAGGGGAATTCTGGAAAGGAGAGGTTTTACTCTCAGAGGGAAAGAGAAGGTCCTGGGTATGAAAAGGGACAGGAAGTGGTTGTTTCCAGGAGCAAAGGAAGAGGCACTGAGGGAATGAGCGTCTCTCAGGACAAGCTGTTGCGTGTTATTAAGTCGATTCCGACTCATAGGCACCTACAAGGCAAGGTTCCCGAGGCTGCTACTGTTATGAGAGTGGATGACAGGATCCATTGGGTTAACGCCCTTCGGTTACCAGCTTAACCATTGCACCACCAGTGTTCATTCTCAGAACTAGAAAACCAAACGCAGCCCACTGTCATCGAGGGGATTCTGACCCCAAGGCACCCTGGTGGGCAGAACAGAGCTGCATGCCCCCCTTAGAGTTTCTGAGGTTGGGAATCTTCATGGGGAGGGGGCGACTGCCTCCCCTTCCTCCCACGGGACACCTGCTGGGTTTGAAGCATCACATCTAGCTTAGCAGCTGGGTGCTTGAACCGCGGCATCACCAAGACCAGGAGGAAACAGGAGGGTCCAGGGACGAAGAAGGAGAAAGGAGGTAGACATCTCGGGAGGAGATGAGGGGTTTTGGGGGTGCAAAAAAGGGCATGGATGTCACGCAGGGATTCGGAAACGGGAAGGTGAGTAAGAAGAGGGAGACCAAGAGCCTGAGAAAGAAAGGAAGTGAAGGAGCCTCGAAGAGGAAAAAGGAGGGTATGACAGATTACAGCCACCAAGGGAGAGAGGCTTGGTGCCCGGTCCCACTTCCTGCCTAATGCTGACTCTCCGAGCCCCTCTGTCTGTGGGCCTTCCCACAACCAAATCGGGGCCTCTGTCCTCCTTGCCAGGTTTCTCTGCCCACCCTGAGTCTCAAGCCCCTTCTCCTCTGGCTCCTGGTTCTTGTCTCTATATCTCTCCCCTCCCTGGGTCTGTCTCCCTCTTCTTCTGTCTCTGCTCACTTCTCTCTTGAATTCCTGTTGCCGTCGTCCTGCCGTCAAGTCTCTGGACCCTTCTCTCTCTGCACTCCCTCACCTCATCCCCAGATCTCTCTGTCTCTCTAAATGTCTGCCTCCCTCTCTCAGCTTCTCCATACCCTCTCTCTGGGTTTCTGTCCCAATCTCTCTCTGGGTCTCTGTCCCCCCTCTCTCTCTTTCTCTGGGTCTCTGTCTCCTTCTCTCTCTCTGGGTCTCAGTTCCCATCTCTCTCTGAGTCTCTGTCCCCTCTCTCTCTGAGTCTCTGTCCCCTCTCTCTCTCTAAATCTGTCCCCTCTCTCTCGCTCTGGGTCTCTGTCCCCCCTCTCTCTCTGGATCTCTGTCCCCCTCACTCTCTGGCCTTTGACCTCCTGCCTCTTGGTCTCTGTCCTCTCTCAGGTCCTCATTTGGTCTCTACCTTAAGCTTGGACTGGATTTCCCTCGATTTCCTTCGGGCCAAAACCTGGATGTGACTAGAGACCTGCAAAGAATGAGAGAGAAAAGGATTCAGGCCACAGCCAACTGCCCCTTAGGTCCCCACCCTTCCCTCCTTCCTTCCCCGTGCCCCACACAGAAGGTTCTGGCGCTCTCAGGAGCATGCCACCATGGATGCCTCAACGAAGCAACGTTTGCCGGGGTCTTCTAACAGTTGATCTTCCTCCAGCCTGGCAAACCAGGGCCCTCTTAGCTTCAACCCACCAGCTGCACCACAGAAGATGAGGCTGCCTGCTCCTGTTTAGATTACAACCTTGGAGACGCTATGAACAGCTCTAATTTATCCTGCAGGGTTGCGATGAGTCAGAATTCACACAATTTAACAATTATTTTGGTGGAGGGTTTTTTTTTCTCTCAACTTTCATCAACCTCCCATTGCCTCTTTTTCTCTCATTCTATCTTTCTGTGGTTCTAATAAAAGTATTAGATTAATTCCATTTGCTCTGTAACAATGTCAGTACCAGCACTAGCTGCTGGAGTCCACTCTGACTCCCGGAAACCCAAGGCATGAGGAGTGGGCTTCACAGAGTTTTCCAATGACTGATCTTTTAAAAGCACATTATCAGCAAGTTCTGGTGGCCTACCGGCAAGAAACTGCACTGCAATCCCAGAGGTACGCAGTTCAAATCCAGCAGATACTCTGCTGAAGAAGGAGGAATAATCGCCTCCTGTACCAGTCAGATCTAATTTGACAGTACACACATAAATATTAATAATAATGAAAAAATAAATTTAAAAAAGTACATTATCAAGGGAGCTCTGGTGGCCTAGTGGCAAGACACTGTACTGCAATCCCAGAGATGCGCCGTTCAAATCCACCAGATGCTGTGCTGGAGAAGGAGGGGGCAATCTCCTCCTGTACCAGTCAGATCTGATTTGACGGTACACGTAAAAAATAATACAATAAAAATAAAGAGAAAATATTTTTTAAAAGTACATTATCGTGGTGGTTCCTGCTATGCACCATTACATCAATGAAGACTCGTAGCAACCCCTACGAACAATACATCTGGACCTTGCACAATCCTGTCCATTTCTCAGTCTTTAATTCCCTCGAGCCCATTGTGACAGTCATTGTGTCAATCCACCACATTGAAGATCTTCCTCTCTTTCTCTGACCTTCCACCTTTTCCAAGCATGGTGTTCTTTTTTCCAAGGACTGGCCCCTCTTGACAACATACCCAAAGTCTGTGAGACAAAGTTTAATCATTCTGAGCATCTGGTGGATTTGAACCACGTACCTCTGGGATTACAGTGCAGCTTCTTGCCACTAGGCCACCAGAGCTCTCTAAGACAAAGCTTAATCGTTCTGGTCTTTAAGCAATACCCTAGTTGCAATTCCCCAATGACAGACTAGTTCCTTCTTTAGTAGTCCATGAGATAGTCAGTATTCGTCTCCAATACCATAAACCAAAGGCATCAATTGTTCTTCTGCCATCCTTAATTTGTAGGCCAACTTTCAGATGCGTAGGAAATAACGGAAAATATCATTACTTGGGTCAGGTGCACCTTAGTCTTTAAACTGCTATCATTGCTCTTGTATTTTGGCGAGGTCCTTGACACGAGATTGTCCTAATGCAATACATCTTTTGAGTGTCAGGTCTTTACTCTAAGGTACTTTTGAGTGAGTTCAAACCATCAACTTTCCAATTAGTAGGCAAGTGCTTAATTGTTTTCACACGTCTAGAACTTCTTGTTGTCGTCCTTATAGGCTGTTTAGTCAGAACCGACTTTTAGCTGACCCTCCAGCAGGTTTTCAGAGACAGTAAATCGCACAAGAGATTCCTCATCTTTCTCCCTCAGAGCAGCGGGTGGATTCAAACTGAGTACCTTCGGGTTGGCAGTGCAGCTCCTTACCACTAGACTACCAAGGACTCTGACGTATATTAAAAAACAACAACCCAAAATCCTCAAAACAACTATGAGATATCATCTCACCCCAGTAAGAATAGCAAAATTTAACAGAACAGCAAGCAACATATGCTGGCGAGGTTGTGGAAAAACTGGAACCCTTATTCACTGTTGGTGGGAGTGTAAAATGGTGCAGCCACTGTGGAAGGTGGTATGGCGCTTTCTCAAAAAGTTGCAGATAGAGATACCATTTGACCCAGCAACTCTACTACTGAGAATATACCCCAAAGAGACCATCACTGCCGCCCAAGCAGATATATACACACCCATGTTTATCGCTGCTTTGTTCACAATAGCAAAGAGCTGGAAACAACCCAAGTGCCCATCAACAAACGAATGGATAGAGAAGCTGTGGTATATTCACACAATGGAATACTATGCTGCATTGAAAAACAAGGAACCCATGAAATATTATGCAAAATGGGTGAGCCTGGAGGACATTATTCTGATACCATCTCCAAGACCTACAGCTATGTGATCTTTTCAAATCTCTGGAAAGAGTTCACCAAGTCTCCAGGGATCCACTGACCATCTTGTCAAGACTCACACCAGAGTCTCTCTGCAGAGGACCCAGGCTCCAGCTACGGCCAACACATAGTGGATTTTGTATAACAAATAAAGTGAATTAAGTTTAAAAAAAAAGGAGATAAGCAGACACACAAACTGTGTCCCATTCAGTAGGTGATCTGCTAAAACTGGAATGATAGATCAGCCAGGGCCCCGCAGAAAGATGGGAGGCAAATTTGTGAAACATTCTCTATTTCTTTCAAAAAGACAGCATTGTGTCCAAAGAAAAAGTTCAGAAGGCAGGAAAGGAGAGCTGAGAAGATTAGTGGACATGAGAATCACAGAGAGGAAGTGGGAAGAGTGCAGTTGCACTATGGGTGTTGTAATTGGTGTTATTAAAACAAAATATGGACGAATGGTTAAACAGAAAGCCATTTTGTTCTGTAAACTTTTACTCATATCACAATAAAAAAAAGTAGAAGAATTTAAACCTGTCTTGTTATAACCAATTAGTTAAGTAAAATTGAACTCATGTTAAACCCGTTTGTGTCAGGATAGAACGGAGTTCCCCAGGGCTTTCAATGGCTGATCTGATGAAAGACTGACATCCTTCTTCTGAGGAGATTGGGGGAACTGGGGGGGGGCTCCCAATTTTTCGGTTAGCCACTAAGCATGTTACTCTCTGTCCCACCCAAAGACTTTCTTGCCCATATCAGGATGCCCCGAAGAAGATGACCTGTTTGCGAGTTCGAGTCTTCCCTGTTCTCAGCTTGATATAGCGGGCGATCAGTTCGTTCCGACCTAGCAAATCAAGAGATGAAGAGAGTTAGACTTTCAGTATCACTTCCCCGTAGACAGGACACCCACAAAGAGAGGTGGCAACAGTCCCCGGAGGTCTGCAGTCAGCTGGACCGGGGAGCTCCTCAGCCAAAGGGGAGCACAGACTTCAAGGAAGACTGTGTGGGTTCGCATCCCGGCTCTACTGCTTCCTATCTCTGTGACTTCAAATAGTGGTAATAATCTGTCTGCAGAGTCATTATGGGGATTATAAAAAAAACAAAACAAAACAAAAAAACCCAACAAAATCCAAGTCCAACGCAATCAAGTGGAATCAAGTCATGGCAGCGTGATCATCAGGTTTCCGGGGCCTCTATACATTTTTCTCACATGAAGCAGATGTGATTCAAACTGCCAACCTTTTGATTCGTAACCGACACGTTCCACATTGCACAAACTGGGCTCCTTATTGTTATTGTAATGCTATATTAAAAATAATGCTAAAAGGGGAGCCCTGGTGGCCTAGTGGCAAGAAGCTGCACTGCAATCCCAGAGATATGCGGTTCGAATCCACCAGGTGCTCTGCCGGAGAAGGAGGGGCAATCTCCTCCTGTACCAGTCAGATCTGATTTGATGATACACACAAAAAAGATTATAATTTTCTTTTTTTTAAACGTCCTGCCAAGTCAGCTCCGACTGGTGGTGACCCAACGGATGGTCAGAGTAGATCTTCTCTAGTTGTCTTGGTTGCAATCTTTACAGAAGTGGTTAGCCAAGGCCTCTCTTCCATGGAAGGGCCCTGGTAGCGTGGTTAAAGCGCTGAAGTGCCAAACACAAGGTCAGTGGTTCAAACCAACCCGCAGTTCTATGGGAGAAAGATGTGTCTGTCTAATCCTACTGGGCCGCTTTACTTCGTCCAAAGAGTCGCTACGAGTTGATACCAACTTGACAATAATGAATTTTTCTTCCTTTCTTATACCTGACAAGGTTCAAACTGCCAATGGCCAATCAAAAATTGTCAGCGTCACCCAGGCTCCTAAGGTCAATGCTTAGAGTTCTGCCATTGTTGGATGTTATTACATTGATTCCAACTCATAAGAACCTTTATGTGACAAAACAGAGCTGCCCCGTCACTTTGTAGACCCTCAGGGAGGTGGACCGAGACAGTGGCTGCCATGGACTTGGCAAAGATTGTGTACATGGCACAGGATCTGACAGGGTTTCCTTCTGTCCTACATGAGGGGCTGTGAGTCAGAACTGAGTCACAGGACTCAACAACCATCACCTATATGGGAGCCTTTCTCCCGTGGAGCCGCTGGGTAGATCCAAACCACCAACCTTTCCATTATCAGCCAAGCTCTTAACCTCTGTACCATGATGAGCCCTATAATCCCCATGGCCTTTTAGTCTATTCCAACTCATAGACACCACTTGGACAGAAAGCACTGCTTCAAAGGGTCCCCATGACAGGAGATCTTTATGGAAGCCCCTTTTCTTTCTCCCAAGGAGTGACAGGTGGGTTAGAACCATCAACCTTTAGGTCAGTGGTCAATCATTTAACCATTGTGGCACCAGAGAAACTTTTGCTTTTTTTTTTTT